AGTGTTTAAGACTGCACAATAACGATTCTGTAGCATTACTATGGGCCTTTGCAGACTGCCAGAAATAGTGCAAATTGAGTCCACTTTAAGGGTTAGGGTTAGTGCTAGGGAATCATGGGAATTTTTTTCTGAGACATTGAGCCTTCTCTGTCAGAGAGCTCTGGTGCCACAATAAACTACAGTTCCCATGATTCCCTAACCCTAACCCTAACCCTTAAAGTGGACTCAATTTGCACTATTTCTGGCAGTCTGCAAAGGCCTGATCTGTAGCACTGAACTGATGTTCTGATGAATATAACTCAGCAAAGCTATGAATGAAGCAGCTAGTTTTCTATCTATTGCTGGAGTGGGAATTGTGTGGTCCATAGAGGTAGTTTTGCATGGCCTTTGGCACCTTGACCCCACAGACGTCCCTGGCCTTTATTTTATTTTTAATTTTTTTAAAAGAAAGGATTGTTTGGAAAATATTTTAGGCAAAAATAACTTCTTAGTGGGCATGGTTCTGCCCCCCAATACTGCTTTGAGCCCCTTACCTCCAAGAGTCACAAACAGTATCTAAAAGTGGCTAGAAATGGCCTCTAGTAGCCAGAAACATCATATCCAGTCATTGTTGAACCTGGTGGTGTGGAACACCAAGGGTCAGGAGGTGTTGAAAATGGCCATCCAAACCTCTTTAGATGTGTAACACAGCTGCACTTCAGTAAACATGATGCCACAATCTGGACTATACGCTGGTAAAATATATGATTTGTGATCTATGTCAGAACCCTAGGGCATTTGAGGGGGTTTTGGAGCTAGTTAAGTGGTCAGAGACAACTTTATGTGGGATTGCAATTCTCAGACAAAATAGAATAGATGTTGGTCTTTTTCCTAGGTACCAAGAGGACTTGATAGCCATAATTGTGACATTAATGGTGTTTTGTCCTCTCACCATTTTAGGCCTGGAGGATCTATGTGTGACCAGGTAAGTTCCAAGGCATTTTGCTGCTCGAAATAATGGTGGAGTGCTGCTCCCGGCTACTCACATGATTGATGCAGAGAGAATGTTTTATTTGGCATTTCTAACCTTCTGGGCATACTTGGAATCAAATAAATAGTGCCATATGTTTGAGAAGTTTGGAACTTTGCAGGTAAAGGGTTTGTTTTTTAAACAGACACAGTTGAGGTTAACATGCTAGAAAAACTTGACATTTCTAAACTCACAGTACTACAGACATTTGATAAATAATTCACTATTGCTCCACAGGCATTTTTCCTAAAATTGAAAAAGAATCTTTAAAAAACATAAATATTTGACTATAAGATTGTAGCAGCTGGATGATTCTGCAGCCGCCTGGTATTATGGCAGTCCAGGAAATGATATGTACTCTAATTCTGTCATCTGTTCTAGGTTCCTTATTTTATCTTTCCTCTGTGGTCCACACATTATAAAGAAATGGGGGATTTAAAGTTTGATCTGTGGAATAATTATATGTTCAGTGTTTAATTTCCTCTTCACCTGCCATTTGATTGTCATTTGATTATTGTCCCAACTTCCTTATTAGGAGGACTCTACCGATGGAAAGAATATCTGAAAATATTTTTAAAAAATGCATCTTGAGTGCCAGGAAACACTGATGGATAGAGTCATGAACTTAAGAGAATCTTTGCTGAAAATGTTGTTTCCTGCATTTTCTGCTATTTCCCCCCCAACCCATGCACCACAGTGAAAATTTTGTGTAGAACAAGTCCTCAACTATGAATAGTCTTCAAAACCTGCATTCATTCTACCAAAGTTCCCCCCTCCTAATAATGTTTTGATTGTTCTGTAAATTTTGATTTTCATTACAGATTTTTTTTTAATGTATGCAAGAATTCTTATCTGTTTAGAAACAACATTTAAAGTCTATGGGGGAAAATACAGAGTAGAGGGAAGGTGTGGGTTCAGCCTAGCTACAATCTTATGCTAAAATATACTGTAATTTTAAATTTACTGTTACAAAATTACCACCACCACCACAGTAATATCCTGTTCTTATCCCAAGAGCACAGGGCAGCATACATGATCTCCCCCACCATATGCAATGAAGCTAAGAGAAATGAAATTACCTTATTCCTGTAACAATAATGTTTCTATCTGCTTTTAAAAGTGATTTTTAAAAGGCATTTTCAGACATATTTAGGGGGGTTGCAGACTGCCAGAAATAGTGCAAATTGAGTCCACTTTTAGGGTTATGGAATCATGGGAACTATATTTTATTGTGGCACCAGAGCTCTCTGACAGAGAAGGCTCAATGTCTCAGGAAAAAAAACAACAACAATTCCCATGACTCCCTAGCACTAACCCTAACCCTAACCCTAAAAGTGGACTCAATTTGCACTGTTTCTGGCAGTCTGCAACCCTTCTAAGTGACATTTTGACCCAGTTTTAATTATGCCATTATTTATTTATTCCACCTTTCTACCTATGCACAATGCTCTACACATTCAAATGTATGTGTCACAATGATCATATCAGATGTCTTTAGGAACAAGTGTCCCAACTTTAACTATGCAAATACACTCCTAGCCACTCCAGAAACCTGAGCTTCTAGGCTCACAGCTGAATGCAGGAACACACTCAGCTTGTAGACTGTAACCCCATCCAGTACAGGATGAATCCCTTATTCTCTTATTAGTTTTTTGACTGTGCAAAAGCACCTCTGTCTTGCCTTAGTGCAGTTGTGTCATTAGGGTTGCAGTGTAGTAACTAATGATGTCACACCCCCATTGGCCTTCTCCCATACCACACCACACCACACAGAAGCTTTAGTAATGTTTTTTTGTACTAATGTTATTCATAAATTGTAATTGCCATATATCACCATAAATGTAATGGCAATAGTTCTGATGTAAACTAACAAAATTAAAAAATTATACATTTAAATCACAATATCATACACACAGCTTAAATATATTTACATGTGCATAGTTGCATGTGCAAAAACCTCCAAACAATGATATCTTTGTGAAGTCGTAGGCTTTCATGGCCGGCATCCATAGGTTTTTTGTGGGTTTTTTCGGGCTGTGTGGCCATGTTCTAGAACTCTTCTAGAACATGGCCACACAGCCCGAAAAAACCCACAAAAAACCTAATGATATCTTTATTGGGCCAACCAAAATTGCAAGCTTTTGAAGTCACATTGGCTTCTTATTCAAGCAAATGGTAGAAAAAAAAATTGAAGATGTTAGGGCTATATAGACAGTTCAAAAGGGCTGCCTGGGGGTAGAGTCAGGGCATGCCAACCACACACCAGCTTTCCTGACTTTGCTCCGATGCCGCTGTCACGCCACGTGCCCACCACATGGCGCACGGTGTCAGGGTACTTCCTTGGCACAATGTACAGATATTGCAGCAAGGGTGGCTTTTTGCTGTTCTAAAAAGGAGCGGCATTTGCCACCTCTTGGGAGTGGCAAAGAGCCGTATTGGGGCCACAGCATGCGGTTGCCACAGCCCCAATCTGATGCTCCCAGGGGCGGCACGGAGTCTTCCCTTAGGGGCTGTCTGTATAGGGCTGTCTGTCTTGGGCCTGCATTTTCTATTTCTGATCTCAGTCCAGATGTTAGGGGATAACTATCTGCAGGCATTCTCTACCTGCATAGGAGTCTGAGGCTTCACTAAGGAAAGAGACATGCTGGATTCCAAGGAAACATCTTTGGATTGCAAATGGACATTAAATTTCCTTGGCTTGCAAAATTTTCCAGCAACCACATTGCCAAAGGGAGAGGAGCCAGCCTGCAGATAGTCCTCCCCTAACATCTGAACTGAGATCAGAAACAGAAATGCAGGCCCAAAACTTAACATCTTCATTTTTTTCCTCCTGTTTGCCTGATGATGAAGCCAGGGTGGCTTCGAAAGCTTGCAATAGGTAGTTGTGAATTTTGGTTGGCCCAATAAAGATATCATTGTTTGGATGTTTTTGGATTTGGAGTATGGCCAACATGGCTACCCCTAGATGATAGTTGCATGTGGTTAAAGTGAAAAGTGGAAAAGATGAGATGTTTTAAAGAAATTTTAAAAGAATTAAGAAATTACAAAAATTAAAAAATATTAATAAAAAAACCCCTAGGGCCTTGACTTTCTCCTCCTATTGAGTCTTGTCCTATTCATGCCATCTCTTCAGTGTTTTAAAGGGATGCAGGTGAATGCCACAGCCCATTTTGCAAAAGGCAGATGTTTGAGGAGCAGTGGTGTCAGCTCCCCTCAGGATGTGACCTGGTGTGGCCCATACTGCCACCCCACTCCCCCAGTGATGCCCCTACCTGGATGAAGACCAACCCTTGATTTAGGGTTAAAGAAGACAGCCTGAGTCAGAGTTAACAATTAAAATTCTATGCAATATCACCTGTCTCAAGATACACTCCCAGACTTTGGAATGGCCTGCCGGACGAGATCCGTCTTAGTGCTACTCTTGCTGCTTTTAAGAAAGCAGTAAAGATGGATCTCTTCCGACAGGCCTTCCCGGAATAACTGTCAGCCTAGGGATGGGTCCCCAATTCGTAAATCTGATTCTGCTTATTATTTGTCGTTAATATTTAGTATTGTATTTTAATTGGTCATTTGTTTAATTCTGTTTTAAGGGGATGGGATGGTGGGACTGTGGGATGAGGTAATGTTTTTAACTTTGTTCTATTTTAATATTGTTGTACCCAGCCCCGATTGCCGTGCAGAGGGGCGGGCTATAAATAAAAATGTATTATTATTATTATTATTATTATAAAATCCCAAAACCCACCCACCCCTTAAAAAGTATTAAACCATTAAAACAACTTAAAATAAAACATCAGAAATAAAATAAACAGATTAGAACAAACAGCAACACAAGCAAGGGCAGCAACAATAGGAAGGTAGAATGAATAGACTGATGAATGTGGTTTACTATATCCTGTAGAAAAGTAAAGTAAATGAAACGTGAACATAAAAATATAATATCCAGGTTTCAAATGAAGTTATTTCCAGTAAGATACGGTTCTAAATGGGAGCCAGTGTAGTGTAGTGGTTTGAGCCTTGGACTATGATTGGAGACCAGGGTTCAAATCCCAGCGTGGCCATGTGAACCCATTGGGTCATCTTGGGCATCTCACAATCTCTCAGCCTCAGAGGGAGACACTGGCAAACTGCCAAGAAAACCCTATGATAAGGTTGCCTTAGGGTTGCCATAAGTTGTAAACAACTTGAAGGAACACAACAACAAGAACAAATGGTTCTACATTTAATTTCATTATTGTATGTGGGAAATCTATTAATGGCCAGATTTGAGATAAGTGTAGAAAACATGAATTTCTGGAAGGGGATACAGTGATGGAGCAATAAATCTTATTTGACCACCAGTGCTGTCTCACTTTAATGTCTGGAAGTCATACGTAGATTCAGTTATCAAGCTGCCCTTTTATTATGGAACAGCCAGCCAAAGACATTTTGCTGCTTCAGGTAGAGCAGCAAATTACACCATTAACACAAAATCATGGTACATAGTACCTAATTCCAATCATGCTATTTTGGAATGTAAGAAAGAAAATCCTACAATTGTTTCTCTTCAGCCATGGCAGTAAAAATGCAAAAACAACAAATTTAATGAAGAATAATTTATTATACCTTGGTAACACCCGCAATCTGCTGTGTAGGGTGGCAACTTCACTCTGCCTCAATAGGCTCACACACATTTGTTGGCAACAGTACACACTGTCATTGACCTTCACAGTATCCTCAATGTACCAAAAATTGTACTTTTCATTTTGTGGGTAGTTTTAGCTGCCGTTCACACATGATGTAAACCCATACTTTCTATCTTTAAAAATTTCAATTTTCAAAATTAGAAATAGGTCCTTATTGAGAAATTTCATTAGTTCAAACAGATTCAAGTATCTTCTTACCCGTCAGTCTAACACTGCTAACTTCCAGTTACGAAGGTAACAAAAACCTGTTTCTTTAAAAAAATGAAAATGAAAAAGGAAGAAAGGAAAGAAGAAAGAAAGAAGTGCAAGAAGCAACTTCTTTACAAAATTTAAATTTTAGACAGGTAGACAGATACTTCTTTTTAGCTCTTCTCACTTCAAGCCACCTGTGTGTCAGTTTTCTTCTGACTGTTATGACAGTTACTTTCTGTGTCACAGTATATAAAAGCTTTAATGGTCTTATTTATTTTCCTAATAATCCCGTAAGATAAAATAGGCTGAATAGCAACAGCTTGCTCTTTCCCCTTAAATACATTCTTAAAAGAGATCTATATCAGATCCTCCATCAAGATGAAAGGTTCAACAGTAAGAAAAAACATAAACTATCATTAGTTGAGATTCCCTACTGCATTATCAGAAGGGGATTAATTTAGAACAGGAGAGTGAAACATTTGAACAGGATATTCAGAATTTAACTCTTCATTTACTTATTTCTCCTCCAACTGGCCTGGTAATTCACTCCTCTTGTATACATGATTCAGATCTCTTATTTTATAATCTCTTAAATGGCATCATACATAGTCTTAGCAGTTTAGGGATACAACCCTATATCTAATGGCCTGGGTGTAAGCCTAACTAAACTGAGCAGGACTTGTTTCAGAGTAGCTATGTACAGGATTTTGCTGGAAAGGATAATTTCTTTATACATCATAGAGCTTCTTGCCTCCAAATTGCCTCTGGTAAGCAATCCCACTAGCTCAGTGGAAACATACATTATGCACTGTATGGATTTATTCAAACATTTTGCATCAGTCCTGTTTCCTGGGAAGTGTACCAATTATGCAGAAGTATTATGCTTAGGGTTGCTTATTAAAGTGGTTCCTATGCATTTCTTAAATCTGCACTTTGATACTGGATGATGACTGCCACTGAAAACCATAAATAGAAAGCAGAGTTGCACACATTCCATGTCTTAAAGGATTTTCATATCCATTACAGAAAAGTCTTTATATCCAAAGGTGTAATTCAATGTCCTAAAGGTTGGTTCTGCTCACAAAAGTGTAAATTTCTTTCTCAGAAACAGCTAATTTTTTCCATGATGAAAACATGTGAATGTTTTATTGATGTCTACAATTTAAACTAGTTCAGTGTGTGTATGTGTGTGCATCAGGAAGGGAAGGCTACCCCATCACACATCATGGTCCCAGTCAGAATTCAGTGAACTTTTGGTTTGTGGAAGAGTTGGAGTAGATTACTGGAGATGGAAAACTCTGTTAGGGACTCTCAAGTTCCTGCTTTTCAATGTGTGAGCCAAAGGAATTCAACCATTTTGAACAGGGGTAGGCAACCTTTCCCATTTAAGGCCCGAGGGACTTCAGCTCCCAGAAGCCTCAGCCATGTTGGCCAATAGTCCCATGTTGGCCAATAGCTCCTGGGATTCTGGGAGCTGAAGTCCCTAGGGCCTTAAAGGGGAAAGGTTGCCTACCCCTGATTTTGAAGTTGAACAGAGAAGAGGATTTTTCCCTCTAAAGCTTCACACTCACCTCATGTGGATTTGACTGAATATAATTAAAATGTATATAATACACTCGCCTCATGTGGATTTGACTGAATATAATTAAAATGTATTTTACTAGTATTCTATAGATATTACATTCAAAATTTGTCTATATAAGTATTCTGTAATTGATTTTATACTTTATTACAGGGGTAGGCAACCTTTCCCCTTCAAGGGCTGAGGGACTTCAGCTCCCAGAAGCCTCAGCCATTTTGGCCAATAGTCCCATGTTGGCCAATAGCTCCTGGGATTCTGGGAGCTGAAGTCCCTCGGCCCTTAAAGGGGAAAGGTTGCCTATCCCTGTTTTATTATATAGATTATTTGCATTCATAATCTTTCTTCCAGTGAGCTCAAGGTGGCATAGATGCCTCCCATCTTGACTTTCAGCCTTACAACAGCAGTGATTTAGGTCAGGCTAAGAGTGGCTAGTGCAAGATCTCCGAGTGAGTTTCATGACTTGGTGAACATATATTTCTCAGGTCCCAGTCCAACCTCATTTTGTTGCTGTAGATGTGATTTTGCAGACAGTGCCTATTGAACAGAATACTAGGTTTTATTATTGTTGTCATCTGGAAATCAGAATCAGAATTTGGTGGTGTGTGTGATCTTTTTGGATTATACTTTCTAGAATGATGCACATTGGGAGAATCAAAATTCTCTATAACTACATTTCCCATTTTAAAAACTTGGTGAACAGGGCTGCTGTCTACAAAGTTTCTACTTTCAGGCCTTTGCCTATTTTTACTCAGTAATGTTGATATTAATGTTAGATGAGGGCTGTTCACAAGAGAGGAAAAGAGAATCTTGCTTCTATTAGTCCGCAGGAAATAACCATGAAAAAAAATCTGGATAGAAGCTTGAGAACATCAGCCACAAGGGCTGAGTGATAGCTGAGAGCAAATGCTCTTGATTGTTAATAGCTAGTATATTCTTGACATTTTGAACACTGAATATATCACTCAGACACACCAGATTAGCAAAATACTGTATGCTCTTTGAAGTTCTGCCCAGATAATTTATTTCTGAAAGGTAAATGTCAGCTTTGTTTCCTATCTAAGCTTTTATGTTAAAATTCAGAGATTCAGAAAAGTTGAGTAAATGTTGTTAATGTTGTTTGCAAACTTCTTCATATTTACTGGCTTCACAGGGAATAATATTTGTGAATATGCCAATAGCTTTTCTATTTGTTATTAAATGAGTTTTCTGCTACAGAACACTCATATAACAGGGAAAACTTCTTTAGAGCTATTGTTCTGTGGTGCAGCTTTCTCTGTCTCTTTTGTTTCTCAATCTCTTTCTCTCTTTGTTTGAAAAAATGTTCCTTTAA